CCTCGGACCATGTGCATGGTTGGCGAGAGTCCTAACCACTGTGGTCTACTAGCTCGCTAGCCATGTAACCAGAAGTTCCTGAGTTCGAACCCCTGTGAGTGTGTAGTGCTGAAGATTCCCAAAGCTAGGACAAAACAACTGGCTGTCCAGTACTCCCAGGTCTTCCAGTGATTCTCTTGACTAATGTGAGCTCATGATAAAATTCTGTAACCAATCGAATCTCTACTAACCATCACCTGAAAAATATTTTGATTTAGAATTACACGTGAAGTAATACTGAAAACAGTCCGATGTGAGAATTCTAATTATAGTAATAATCGTAGTAACGGGGGAAAGATACATAGATTAACTAAATAAACAAAATAAATAAATAAATGTCTATCTCTTTACGGCCAAGGCAGAAGTAGGGATTGTACATACTCCTTTTTTACAGAAAGATTTGACTAAATATTCTGAATGGCGAGAGCCTCTTCTGTCTTTACAAGCTCGTAATGAAGAAAACGTGGCAATTTAGCGTAAATTTGTTAGATGATATTGAAATCATGTGCAGGGTTGATAGAGTGAGTGACACTCCCTTCCAATATCTATTCATCCTATGAATTATTCTATATATGACAATAATTTTTTGCAATGTGATATGTAACTATGATTATAGTCACAAATATTTTATTTGCATTTCATACTACTATAATTATTTCATGTTTGGTTACGGAAATTCATCATGAGCTGACATCGGTTAGAGAACCATTGGAAAACCCACTGGGAGTACTCGATATTGAGAGTGGCAGATATCAAAAGATTAGCTGTCTTTGATCATAGGTGCCTGCGTTCTATCTCCTGTGCGAAGTGGTAAAATAAGGTGAGGAATATCGAGGTTAGGCATCCGTCGAGTGGTAGGTAGGTGGGAGGGGAAATCAATCGATGAGGCTATGAAATTACATAGACTGAGATGGTTAGGACATGTGTTACGTATACCTAGTCATCGCCTTCCTCGATAATAGGCAATGTTAGCTGATTTAGGGTCAGACTGGAAAACAGCTAACCAGCGGCGGTCAAACCAAAACATGGCTTTACCAGTCAACGAAGTCCACAACAGTTAGTTTAAGCCAGCCACGTAGGAAGGCGTAGACTTCCTGACTGGTTGGGGTCCTCGGGACGGTAAAAACCAATGGCTGGAAACAATTAGTGACATGGCTCAAACTCATCGTTCTCAATGGCCGGCGCAGATGCATCCACTCCGTGTGACTTATGATTTCCAATGAAACTGTTTTCTTCTTCATTATTACTATTCCTTTGTCTCACACCTATGTTTACTGTCCTTAATGTGCATTACTTTTACTTTCTTCTCTTGCTTTGTGTGCAAATGGAGTGTGGTGACTTGAACTGCCGCACATATGTGCAAAGTTCTATGTCAAAAACAAACAGACAGACGCACACACCGCGATTCGCACCCAGGACTTTCTGGTTAGAAAGCTAGCGAGCTCGTAAACCATTAAACCACTGGAATCAATCCTATGGCTCATGATTTCAAACTTCAATTATTCACACCTTTGATCTGCTTCCCTCACCGGATATAATTCCTAAAAAAGTATATATACAGCTCCATAATAAAGAGTCTCTTCACTGAATGTTGTATTCTTAAAAAAATAATAGTTAAGCTGCATATATTACTGATTGATTTCAGAAATTAGAGGTTACTTAACACGACCGTTATTGTTCCCTAGCTAGATTGCCGTTTGCGCCCTTCTCTAGCTGGTTAGTTTTGATTATAATGATAATATTATTAACAACACGCATATAAAACATGCTCAGGATAATGACAACACCAGCAATAGGGAATTTAAATCATCAGTAGTACTTCCATACAAAGAAGGAACCCCAAAAACCTTACGGTGAAGAATTCTTAACAATGAAATAATCCAACTCTTAAGAACACATTACTGGCTTTTATGAGAGTGTTTCCGTGGATTCGAGGGACAATATAGGGTTTCAGTAGCAATTTACATCTTAAACTCTCCTCTTTAATCCTCTTTGTTTGGATCTATGATGATCAATGGTCTCCTCCAGTGTCACCCTAAAACGCTCAACACAAAATTTTCTATTCTGCTCTTAATCAAGGGTGTGCCTAGCGCGCAATGTCATTCAACTGTCTTCTATGAAAAAGAAAGTTCGGTAAAATAAACTCCGGTCGTCTGCCAGTCGCATTCAGCGTATATATAGCCATAATACTGTGTAGGATGAGGTAGATCTTTTGAGAATGACCCTAATAGAAAATGGATTTCCATCACGTTTTATAGATAAGAATATACATTCAAAGCCTACAAAACCTGACTTATCAGCCGTACCGAAGAAAATGCTTTACATGAGCTTGGAATTCAAATGGGACTTAGCTTCCGATATCATGAAACGAAGGATATCACAGTCCTTGAAAAGAACATTCCCTAGTGAGAATGGCTTTTACTAGCCGACCATTATTGTTCAATAACCTGAAGGACAAGATCCCAATGTTGACCAACTCTATGTGCGTTTATCAATTCACCTGCTCTTGTGGAGCTAGGTATATCGGTCGTTCGACTCGAGTTTTGTCCAAGAGGTTGCAAGATCATTATCCTGCATGGCTACGAAAATGCGGAAGTGGAGCAATAAGAAGCGCGATCATAGAACATTTTGTCGATAATGATCACCCTATCTCGACAGCCTCCGTCTTTAACCTCGTCTACAAGGAGAAACATAATTCGCCCAAATCACTACGTACTCGACTCTTCTGTATTGCTGAAGCTTTGACTATCGAAACAGGAGAGCCAGATCTCTGTATACAGAAAAAGTTCGTTCAACCCCTCCAACTTTCATGGTCTTAATCCCTCTATGCTAAAGTATGGTAATCCCCATTCATATTTGTGCTCTACCAATTTTCATTTTTTCAATTTGTCTATTCAATTTGTTAACTTTCCCTTTATTACATCAATTGTTACTATTCTTATTATTATTATCCTCACTTTGGACTGTCTATGGTATTATTTCACCTGTTTCACTTGTCATTCTAAATCTATTCTGTTCTGCAACGTTAGATTCTATTTTATCAAATTTCACACAATGTTAAGTAACATTTTTCTTTTTATTATATTTGCCTATTTGTCCAATAACTTTACAACCCCTTCTAATATCTATACTTCCTCTGAACTGTTATATATATGACAATAATTATTTTACCACTTGACAATAAACTATGATTATAATCACAAATATTTTAATTTCATTTCATACTACTATTATTATTTGTTGTCCTCATACATCTGTTCAAATGTCCTCACGGGTTACAATTTGCACAGCTTGATAATAAATTTGTTGAAAAAATTGTCTTCTCTGAATATTGTGTTCTTAAAAAATCTGAGTGAACAGCATGCATTACTCAAGACGGCAGGTATTGTTCTCTAGCTAGACTACAGTTTTTGATCCCCAGTGGCTAGTTAGTTTTGATAACAATTCTTGACTTTATCTTGCCTCATAAATGTGTGTCTACCAGTATGGAGCTGCTCGTGTGGAGCCAGGTATGTCGGCCATACCCAGCGTTAGCTTTCCAAACGTATCGCCTAACATTAAGAACACAATTTTCAGCGAAGAGACTCTTTTCAACGAATTTATTATCAAGCTGTACAATCGTATATATATGGTTTTATAAAGAAATTATATCCGGTGAGGGAATTAGGTCAAAGGTGTAAATACATGAAATAATAATAGTATGAAATAAATTTAAAATATTTGTGATTAGGTTCATAGTTTAAGTCAAGTGGAACAATAATTAATGTCATATATAAGATAATACATCAGGTGTATAGATTTTGGGGAGAGGCATATAATTGTAAGATTAATAGACGAATGTAAAATGTTACGTAACATGGTGTGAAATTTGATAACATAGAATTTAATATTGTAAAAATAAAGATAAAAAGTATACACATGAATAATTTTTGGTTTAAAATGTCAAGTAGATCAAGTGGAAAATTCCCTCACCGGATATAATTTCTTTATAAAACCATATATATACGATTGTACAGCTTGATAATAAATTCGTTGAAAAGAGTCTCTTCGCTGAAAATTGTGTTCTTAATGCTACAATGGGAATTATTAAATTATTGTATCGCCTAACGTTTAGCAACATGATTTTACAAAAGAGAGAAACAATGCCTCAGCAGCTCTGTCTTAGAACATCTAATAGAATCCGACACCAAGCTACACCCCCCAAACAAACTTCAAGTCGTCTACAGATTAGGAAGTAGTCTTCCTAAAGGTGTACGAATGAGACTTCTTCAAAGTGCAGAAGCAATGGCGATTCACTTGCTTAGCCCTAAAATCTGCATACAGAAGAAGTTCTTCAATCACTACACTTGCAATGGACGAAATCTATCTTAATACCCGACAAGTAAAATTTTTACCTAATCTTTTTTTGTCTGAGTCTTCGTTAGTATTATTTTATCTTCTCAAATGTAATATTTTACATTTTCAACTTTCTTGTTCTCTATCCCCACATGATTTAATTTCTACGCCTCACTACCACTGTTACTGACTTAACTAACGCCCAATTTCCAGGCATTTATGATAGGTCATCCAATTTATTTGCTCAATTTTAGATCTAATTTAAATGGTATTATTCTCTACCCCATCTCTACTTAGTCTCTACCTGTTATTAACACTGTTGCTATCCTGACCTAGGTTGAAACATTTTAGTCAATTATATTACGTCATCTAACTAACTAACTAACTAACTCAATCTTACTCTAGCTGTTGTCTAATTAACCTTGTTTCTATATTCGATCACTTTTGTATTACCTGATCAATTATCTAAACTTGACAAACCTCATGTACACACACACACACAGAAATAATTATATAAATGCGATTGTACGGCTAGCTGTGTGAATGAATTCGCCGTCGAAAAGAGTCCCTTCACTGAACGTCTTCTCTTTTTCATAAAAGCCAAATATTACAAACAACACACTTACTGTAAATAGTGAAAAGGTGATTATAGCCAGACTTGTTAGACACTTGTACCACATAACTATTTGATCACTGTATATATTGAGGATTACACCACTGGAAGCCATGATAAATGCAATCACCTGAAAGAATTCATAGAATGATTTAGGTAAATATATGCGTATATATATATATATATATATATATATATATATATATATGGGTGTGTATAACTTAAGAGGAGAAATATTATCCAAAATTGATTTTAGACTAAAGTACACAAGGTAAAGAAAACAAATTAGGCAACTTTTGATCACACGCCCTGATATATATATATATATATCTGTGTATCTATAGACATTGGGCTAATGGATATAGAAAAGCTTTACATTGACAAAAAACATCGACAACACTTTCAGACAATAAAAAAATTCTTTGTTTCTAATAAAGGTTCCGGGTGGGGTATAGTAAAGCTGAAAAAAAAATAACTGAAAAGCACACCTCACAAAAATATTTATATATGCCTAAAGAATGATCAATTCATCATTAAGGATGTCGATGAACACATTCACTTGATCGGTTTTATAATACCGAGGTTGTTGTAAGGTACACTAAAAACATCTAAGCAGATAATACAACTATGCTGTATTTTGAAAGTGTCTGGATATGCTTATTGGTTAAAAGGAAAATTATTATTATTATTATTTCAGTAAATTAAATATTCCCATAATTTATTCAGAACAAAATATTTAGAGCGAACAATTGTCGTTTTCAATAAATTCTTCTTCACGATCTACAATTATAAATCCATTAATCCACTAAGCATACAATAGCCAGCCAGTCAGTAAAGGCGAATTAGAATCATATCAGAAATTGTATTGTGGAACAAGTGTAAGTAAGATGGGATGAAACAATAGTCATATAGTTGTTTAATATGCATGGTCAATGAGAACATGGGACAGAATGAGTTGAAGTAATTTAATTTAATGATGTGTGTATATGATATTCTCAATATAAATATAGTTAACAGAAAATACAGGTTTCAAGAGTGAGTGTAAATGAAAATAAACCAACGAATGGGGTAGTCTAGACTTAAGTTCAAGGTTGAAAACAACAACAATAAGAATTCAGTATAGAAAATATCCCCATTTAGACATTTAGGCCCAATCCTAGCTGATTTCTTCCTCGCTAAGTTAGAGAATGGACCACTGAAGGGAGTAACTAGTGACTTGGATTTCTACTATCGATATATGGATGATACATTTCTGGTCATAAAAAACGAGGACGATGCAATGAACATCCTTGACAAGTTTAATGATGCCCATTCAGCAATAAACTTTACCACAGAGAAAGAAAGTAATGACAGTATCTCATTCTTAGACGTCTTCATGGCAAGGAAAGAAGATGGCACACTAAGGAGGAGTGTGTTCAAGAAACCTACTACAACGGGTCAGTACACTCATTTTTTGAGTTTTGTACCTTTGAAATATAAACAGATAACCTGGTAAAGTGTCTGTTTCATAGAGCTAGGTTAATCTGTTCAGACGACTGCTTCAATGAGGAGCTTAAGATTATTAGAGAATTGCTTAGAAAAAATGGTTATCCAGATACGTTTATTGAGAAAAATATGAATTCATCACCTAGGACAGTCACTATGGCAACAGTTCCGAAAAACCACTGTTCATAAAACTTCAGTTCTTCGGTGACAACATCAGCGAAATAATAACACAACGACTGAAGAATGCAGTTAAAAGAGCTTATTATGCAGCAGAGGTACGCTGTTTCTTCACAACCACACCTATCCTACGTTCGAGTAATAAGGATAAACTACCTAAATTTGCCTTCTCCTCTGTGTGTATCTACCAGTTTGACTGCAGCTGCGGAGCCAGCTACATCAGGCGAACAATTAGGCAGGTTCATCATCGTATTTCCGAACATCATCCGACATGGTTAAGCAAGGGACAAACAAAATCTATTCGCACCTAGCTCTATTTTAGCCCACCTTGTAGATAGTGAGTATAAGGTTGACGTTAATACTGCATTTAAAATTATTTATCGTATTCCTACTAATCTTAATTTTGCTTTACGAGTTCGTCTTCTACATACAGCTGAAGCAATAGGAATCCATCTGAAGAAGCCAAACTTGTGTGTTCAGAAGACATTTGTACAGCCACTTTCCTTACCTTGGCCATCGTTACATGACTGTACAAACCAGACTACTTCATCACCCTCCCCCTAAAATATTTTTCTTTTTAAAAACCTATAAAAACTATAATTGTCCAAATTATTTTATTCTTATGACCACTTCAACTTTAGTTAAAAATTGTCATTGTCCAAATTGTTTTATTTTCTTTAACAATCTGTTACGTAATCAACCTGTGCACACGCTTATTCCTTAATTGCTCTTCATTTTTCCTAAATTATGCATTATGCAATCCACGTGTTGTAACCATTTCCACCTTTTAATTAAACAATAAGAATGATTGTAAAATAATAACGATGATATGGTGTAAAATTAAAATTAAATGTACTATTGGTGAATGATTGTCAAATAATAATAATGAATATAATGAAGTGGAATGAACAGGATTTTGTAAATACGATAACAAGTTAGAAAAGCACTATTTAAACCTAAGGTAATAAAATCATAAGAAAGGTCATGAAATCATAAAAGTCGAAAGAAACAGAGGAATAGAAGAAGGAAAAGAAAAGAAAATTGTGAAAGGAATTTATAGTGTTAATGGAGGATTTGTTGGCTTTATTGTAGGCCAAGGTAAACATAGAGGTTGAACATACTTCTTCTGTATGCAGAGGGATGGTCTTCTGGTATTAATTGCAACTGCTTCAGCTACTGATAGAAGACGTAGTCGAGCTCCTCTAGATAAATTACTAGGAACGCGGTAAATAACTGAGAACGCTTGGTCAAGTTTTATCGGGTGTCCAGTATCTACCAAGTGGGCTAAGACTGCACTATTTATGCCTTTGGTTACTCCTTTACTTAACCATACAGGTACATGTTCATGTGCGCGCATGGATAAAGCCCTCTGAGTACGGCCAATGTAACTAGCTCCACATGAGCAGTTGAATTCGTAGATGCACATTGATGAGGCCATCTTTGGTAATTTATCCTTTACTTGCTGTGTGAGTACTGGTTTAGTTGAGAAGTTTAGTACCAATTTAGCTGCGGGAAATGTTCTATCTATTGCTCTATTGAGTCGACACTTTAGAATGTCAGCTGCAATTTCCCCTTTGTAACTTAACTTAAGATACAAAGGTTTCTTGTCTACGGTATCCACCTTTACCCTGTCTATAGGTATTGACATATACTTTTTTAGGAAGCTCTGTGGATATCCATTTTCTTGCAGTGTGAGTTTTAGTTTATGCATTTCTTCCTTAATGCATTCCTCTGAGCATATTCGTTTTATTCTGTAGCTAAGACACTTAACTAAGTTTCTTTTATGCTGAATCGGTGTGAAACTATGGAAATGGGTGTACTGACCCGTCCAAGTTTTCTTTCTAAATAATTTCCTTTGTAGATATCCGTCTGTCTTCATGGTAAGTAGGACGTCTAGGAAAGGTAAACTGTTATTGTCTTCTTCTTCACATGTAAACTGAATAGTTGGGTGAACACTATTAACGGTATTCAGAAGCTCTTGTTTATTAAGATTTCTATTACAAACGATAAAGGTATCATCTACGTATCGACAATAATAGTCAAGCCCTTTAATCGTGTCTTTGAGTGGACCATTTTCAAGCTTTGCCAGGAAAATATCCGCTAGCAAAGGGCCCAAAGGTGATCCCATGGCTAACCCATCAACTTGTCTATAAAAACCATTATTGAACATAAACTGAACATTCATAGTGCATTTCAATAATAATTCTTTGACTTTTTCGGGTGGGATTCCTACATCTATTTTCTTTTCTATCAGCTGGTCACATATGTAGTTGACTGTTTCAAGCAGTGGGACGTTGGTGAATAATGATGCTACATCCAGTGACATCATTTTCTTTCCCTTTACATTCAAGCTTTTGGTAGTTTCCACAAAGCTGAATACGTCTTTTACACTGAATTTCACTACTTCGTGATGGTATGATTCTAATTCGCCTTTACTGGCTATTGTATGCTTACATTAATGGATTTATTATTGTAGAGCTTGAAGAAGAATTTATTGAAAACGACAATTGTTCGCTCTAAATATTTTGTTCTTATTATTATATCCTTTATTCCTAGAGGAACATAGGGATTCAGCCACGCGTCTCCATTGCCTTCGGTTTTCTGCCAACTTTTTCGCCCCGCTCAAGTATGCCCACATGCTTTCATCTCCTTTTCATATGACCTCCTCCAAGTCCCCTCACACTGACGACCAACTTGCCGCTTCCCTTTCGGGTTCCACTCGAGCTATGGCTTGTCTAGTGATGTCACTTGATGGTTTCCTCAGAGTATGGCCAGCCAATGCATCTCCATTTCTTCCTGCTCATTTGTTACACAATCGGCTCCTGCTGGGCTTATTTGCTCCAAAAGATCCTTATTGCGGATCCTTTCTGGCCATCTGATCTTGAGTAGTATTGAGCGAAGACAACTGTTAATAAAGATCTGTAGTTTGTTTGAGGTGCTCTTTATGATTATTGTTAGCTGATTGAATCGACTTCACTTAATTTCGATTAATTCTCCATAAATATCGTGATCGCTGGGATGATGTACTTCCCATGTAATTGCTTGGAAGACAGCAACTTGAATGTTGAAATGACAACTTCCGATAACATGATAACTTCTACTTTGATGGACGTTTAACTCAAAATTCATATTCTATGGTTTGATTTGTAGATAGAAAGACGGAGTAGCCGTGGGAACTACGTAGGTTTTATTACACACAGACCTTTCAGTAGCGAGTATGACAGACGATTCACTCAAATCAATTTTCAACGGTACTTTTCTATACAAAAAGTATGTTGATGGAAATTTTATAACCTGTGACATAAATGATATCCTAAGGATTTTTATAACTTGCCACCAAACCACCAGATTTATTATTGAGGTAGGAACTAGAACGGCGTTGGTGGCATAGCAGTTAGGACGCTCGCCGACCATGCACATGGTTCGGAGTTTGACTCCCGGCCGACGCACTCCTTTATCTCGCTAAGC